TCACTGCAAGGCTGATGACATACATGGTGCCAGCTGGGAATGGAGTTAATATTGATAGAGACCACTGTGCTTTTAATGCCCTGCTGGGGTCGAATTCTACCATTTACTATTCAATGCAAAACTCATCAAAGCATACTAAGATTTTATTCCATTGCTCTTACATTTTATGGCTACCAGGGGCTCTTTGAAAAGGAAGTAAGTATAGCAGTAACAATGCTTTTGAGAAAACTGTGTGCATCGCAACCTGTTTTAAAACATGCTTTTTCTACATGAAATCGATTTTGACACAAAGTATTGTAGGAACTCATGCATGCTAGGAATCCTAAGCTGGCCATCAAAAAAAATTTTTTTAAAGATTTATTTATTGATTTGACAGACAGAGATCACAAGCAGGCAGAGAGACAGGCAGAGAGAGAGGGGGAAGCAGGCTCCTCACCAAGCTAAGATCTCGATGTGGGGCTCGATCCCAGGACCTTGGGACCTGAGCCGAGGGCAGAGGCTTTATTTTTTATTTATTTTTTAAAGATTATTTATTTATTTATTTGACAGAGAGAGATCACAAGTAGGCAGAGAGGCAGGCAGAGAGAGAGGAGGAAGCAGGCTCCCTGCTGAGCAGAGAGCCCGATGCGGGGCTCGATCCCAGGACCTGAGATCATGACCTGAGCTGAAGGCAGAGGCTTTAACCCACTGAGCTACCCAGGCGCCCCTGGCCATCAAAATTTTCTAAAAAATTCCAACTACCTCTTTCTGTTAATGGAGAAGAAGTGGTTTAATGGTTGCTCCTGGGGTGGCCTAAAATGGTGGAAAATATGAGGCATTACTAAATCTTATCCTAGTGCCTTGGAATATATATTTTCTTATATTGGGAATTTACTAGGAACCAGGAATCTTTGACAAACGAATGACTATAAGCAACCTTTTGTTTGTCAAAGAACCACACGTAGATTATTGCAGTCAAGTCTCCTAAGTCAAGCCAGTGTTGTAAGGATAGAGATTCCCACGAGTCGCTGCTGGTGATTTTTATTTTCTCTAATAAAAAATAATATAGGGGGCATATGGCAGGCTCAGTCGGTAGAGCATGTGACTCTTGACCTTGTGGTTGTTGGTTCAGGCCCCACACTGGGCTTGGAGCGTACTTTAAAAAAAAGTAAATATATATATATATATATATATATATATATATATATATATATAAACTTTTAAAAAAAGAGTGCTTCTGTTATTTGGGCAGGCACATGCATGCATAAGAGACAATTGCCATGATCTTAACTAGCTCTAGATAGCCAGACCTTAAAAAAATCTTTTTAGGGAGTGGCAAGGAGAACCATTGCATGGTGATTATGGTTTGTTGTTGTTGCTGTTTTTAATCATTATTCATTTGTTTTAAAATCAGTGCTATCCAATAGAACTTTCTGCAGTGATGGAAATGTTCTATAATCTGCACTGCCCAATGGGACAGTCACCAGCCCCACATGACTATTTGTTGGGCAGTTAGTTGGGTCTGAGGGAGAAGGAATAAAGCAGTTGCTGGTCACACCCTCGGAGCAACCCGTAAGAATTAACAGCTACACCTGCAGAGCCACCTCTGAGGGCTAAGAGAGCGGGAAAGGCCTAGCCACCAGCTGGCTCAGAAGCCACAGGGGACTTCCAAGAGCTGAGCATGCGCAGAGAAGGCGCAACTTGTCCTTAAGGTCACAGCAGAAGCTCCTTAGAAACTCATAAATATACAATACATAAATAAATACAAATATAACGGCAGGCATCATGGGTAGGCGCATGCGCAGAAGCCAAGATGTTATATAACCACCGGCTGTCACTCAAACATATCCTTCAAAGCCAAATTTAAGGCAGAAAACAGACTTAAAAGGATGCAGCCAGACCTTCTTGGGGCCATTGCCACTGTTGCTCTAGCAGTGACCTGCTTTCACTCTTGGAAGCGCACTGTACTCTACCTGCTTAATGAACTCTAGCTCCCCATTCTGGTCTCCGGTTTCCAGTTCTTTGGTGTATCTGGGGCAAGAAGCGAGCAACGCGGTAACATATTGAGCACTTGAACTGCCCCTTAATATGTGTGAGTGAGGCATGGAATTTTCAGTTCAATTCGGTTTTAATTGATTTAAAGTTAGCGTCCCGCGGCTTGTGGCTACCATATTGGGCAGCGCGGGTTTAAAACGTCCGCTCCCCAAATATATCAAGATACACACCAGTGGGTCGGTATTCTGTGGCATTTCATAAAGATTCGCATGTAAGACCTTAATATCTAATAATTTTCCCTACTGAGAAATGTGTGTGCGCATGCTCACGTGTCTGTCCAGAGAAGATGATTTAGGGTTAGTCTTAAGACGGAGCTGAGATGTCGTGAATTAAGTGAAAGTATACTCAGACAAGTATATCTTATGACTGTTTAAAGTTTGTTCCCTGTGAAACGAAAATGAACCCCTAAGCCGCATGCAGCACAGAGTAGCGCTCACATTTTATTGGACGTGTAGGAGCCACTGCTGTTCTGTGTGTGGTAGTGATCGATCCACATTGTATTTCTAGGGGCGCCTTGGGGGGCTCAGTGGGGTAAGCCTCTGCCTTCGGCTCAGGTCATGATCCCGGGGTTCTGGGATCGAGCCCCGCATCGGGCTCTCTGCTCGGCGGGGAGCCTGCTTCCCCTCCCCACCCCCCCCACCCCCGTCTCAGCCTGCCTGTCTGCCTACTTGTGATCTCTCTCTGTCAAATAAATAAA